CTGGTGACTTGCTTCACAAAGGTCACAGCCTTGAAAACCCCATGGAGCAGTTCTGCTCTGCACACATGGGGTCGCCATGGCCTGAAAAGTGACAGCAACGAAGGGGCAACACGGCCTTCACAGTCAGGGTGGTTGTTAGCTGCCTTCAAGTTGGCTCCGACTCACGGCGACCTGATGCACAACTGAATGAAATGATGGCTGGCCCTGCGCCACTTCCATGATCACTGCTATGCTTGATCAAGGCAGCGATGCATGTTTAGTATGATACATTTTCAGCAGACGGCAGTACAGTGTCAGGAGGGTAGGGTGTTTTTTATAATTTGTACAAAGGCAGCATTTAGGCTGGGGATGGAGCGTGACAATAACGGCTGTGCTGCACGAACCTTAAGCCCAGCAGGCCAAGGCCAGGACTCAAGGTTCCCAGGGCACAGATCCTAAGAGGGCAGTAAATGAGGGGAAAGAAGGACAGCAGACTCCAGTAAATGTAAACAGCCGTTATTTTCAACATAATTTACTACAGGTCTCTGAAGTGTATATAAAACATTTTAGTGCAACATCTTACAAATAGTTTTCCTTTGAAAAAACAAAAACAAATCAACAGCTCTCTACATCATGCATGGAAACTTTCTTCTCCCATCTCCTTTTTTTCTTTAACAATTAACGCAGAGAAACCATTGCTTGAAAAGAATATGAAAACTTTACAGAAACACCCTGGTGAAAGAGGATGTGGTTATATCCATGTCTTGGAATGGGCCTAGCACAGTGTAGTTTTTATAAATACAACATCATAGACGTAGGTAAGTCAAGAGGGTGTCCAGCAGTTTTCCTCTCCCAGCCCCAGAGGACTAAAGTTCCGGTCGGCAATTGCAATGAGGTCTTGCAGCCACTGGAGGGCACCAGTACCATTCATCTGACACACACCATTTCTATTTTCATTCAAATGGCCAAAAACAAGAAAGGTGGTCCTGGGGTTTCTCTTAAAAAGCTGGGAAAGCTCAATCTTTGATGCCCTCTCCCCAGTCCAGGAGAAAATACACAGACAAAAACAATTATTAAAATACTGGTTTTGGTTTCTTTTTTCCTTTCAAATTTTCTTGCAACTGCTTTGTATTTTTAATCATGTGTGGCAACTCCTTCTCTACAACTGTGAACCAGCACAAATGCAAATGTGAGCTATGCATCCCAACCCCATCCAGCCCGCTGGCATCTTTCCATGCAGACAAAGGAAAAGTCAGTCATCATTTCTGACTCAGTCTAAAAACGAGGAGTCAGCTCTTTCTCACTGGAAGTCCACACCCCTAAAATGAAGAAATGGGGCAAAACACTGCTCTTTTCTCTCACGACTTAGCCAATTCTGTGCCTCAAACATGTTGATGCAGCGTAATAAATGAGAATGAGCCTGTCAGGCACCAGAGGGATTAAGGTGGCGGTGCCTACTCCCTGTCACAGCAGAGCACTGGAGTATCTGGGAAGAAAAAAGAGGCAAGACTACATTAGCCTGCCAGAAAATGGTGGCTGAACACCTCAAACCCTTGCACCTTTCAGACTCCCTACTAAGTATCAGAGGAGCCCTTGTAGCACAAACAGTTAGGCAGTGGGCTAACTAAAAGTTTGGTGGTTCAAATCCATCCAGCAGCTCCACAGGATGAAGACCCAGTGATCTGCTCCCATAAAGATTATGGCCTAGAAAACTATGGGGCCAGTTGCACAGCACCCAACAACAATCACGAACACGGCCCACGTGGCTGGGGAGTCCCACAGAGTCCCCTGAAGTCTGTTCAGTTCCAGAATCCCTGGTGGCTTTTTCCAAATTGGGATTCACATAAATTCACAAAGGAAGGGAGCCTGCACTGCTGGGCAGCAAAATATGGGAAAACAAGAGCATAAACATCATCCCAGGATGAACAGCCAATATTGCTCCCAAGGTAGCCAAGCACCTTGGCCAGTAGTGTCAAACAACAGGGCAGGTGGCTGGGTTTGAGAGGGGCACCAAGTTAAAAGCTGCTGTAACAATGAACAAACAAGTAACCTAAAACCACATACAAAATCCAAGAAACAGAAAGAACACTCCCCCAATAACCCCATGTGATCTTCTGTGGAGAGGAAGTAAGCTGAAAGGATGACTGAGGGACTGAGGCTAGACCTCCCCTAGTCTGATATTCTTATCTCAGTGAGACAGCGGAAAAGATAAATGAAGAGTAAGAAAGATGTCAGTGTTTTTGAGGAAAATCTAACTGGAAGGAAGAAGCAAAACCTAGTCTTCAGACCTCCAGGGAGGCAGTTACTCCTCCCCACTCTCCAACGCCAGGCCTGCAACCCCATCATCGCATACTTCTTCAAAGTGAGCCGAGGCACTCCAGGGCCCTTCTCTGGGTGGCTATGGTGGTTGCTTCAGCCCCGTGTGCTCAGCACAGCACTGTACCACTTCTGGCTCACTGGACACTTTCCTCAAGAGTTTGGCAAAGCACCTGAAGACAAAGCCCACCTGTACACAGTTATCAGTGAGCAACTGCCCTTGCAGAACCAGTCAAACCAACACCAGCCTTTCTTCTTTCCTTCTCTAATCACTGGCTGTGATCAATCTGACAGTCAGTAGCTGCTAAAAACAGCCCTCTGCCCACTTTAGCTTGTAAAGTATGTGCCGTTTGGAGCGTTTGACCTGTTCTCTGAGAAAGTTTTCTTACTTTTTTGGCAAGTTTGGGATGAAGCCTTTTTCACCTCCTTGACAGGCTGGTCAGCACCACCTACTCCTAATGGGGTTATGTGGGATTTCTCTTGTACGTACACAGTTCTTTGAAGCAAAATTCAATGCTTTCATCTTGACTACAAAGTGGTCCAACACCTCTGGCTGAGGGAAGAGATAAAATACAAATTGGGCCCACGCTACACACAATTTTCAAGTCTTGCTACGAAAAGTATAAAAAAAAAAAAAAAAAAGTCTGGGTGTGTTTTGATCCATGGGTGGCATCTTCAAAGTGTGCAAAAACAAAACTTCTTGGAAGGGATTCCTTGTTGCTATAAAGTTCATCCTTCCCTTTGCAATCGGTTGTATGTAAGAGATTGTCCACAACATTATTAAATCCAAAAGGGGTAAACCAAAGGGCTTTAAAAAGAGTACATTACAAAGAATAAGAACATCTAGCTGAGAATACTATATAAATCTGTGAGTAGATGTGGCACCTGGAGCTACTCACTACATTACCAAAAACAAGAAACCTATAAGGGCAGCATCACGACATCTGTGAGCAAAGAGCTAACCAACCACAGCTGCCAGCTGAAGGCAACCTGTCTCTGTGACTTATTGAGAACTCTGAAAACATCTCAGGTCTGACCATTTTCTGCGAGGGCACTCCAGAATTTGGGTGCTGCCAGCTGTCTGATCACAGAGAAAGAGGCAGCAAGGGAGAGCCCCAGCTCCTCCATGGCCGATGTCTGTTGGGGCTTCCTCCTTAGTCTATGGCTCCTGGGTGGATACTGAGCACCGGGGGCTCCAGGCAGGTGGGGGAGTAGTTGAGGTGCGGTTCTTTGATCCACAACAGGGGCACCCCATTCTTCCCATCTGAATTCTTGCCGGAGTTCCGGCTCTTGAAGCGCACCAGCAGGATGGTGATGATAAGGATGCCGAAGATGGGGAAGGGATAGAAGAAGATGAAGTAGAAGAGCGCATCATTGGAGCAGATGATGGACTGGAGGGTGGAACCTGAAAAGGAGCATGAGGGAGACAAGACAGTGAGGGCTGAGAAACTGGATGGTTGACTTTTGCTCCTGAAGGCCTGGCCCAACCCAATGGAGGCCACTTGCAGATCTCCTGTACCCATCCTGCCTTTCCTACCACCACTAGTGATGGGGGGGTTACACTTCTTACTCCTACAGCAAACATCCCCTCTTCCAAGTCAAACACAACTGGCAATTCAAACAAAGCAATGCTTCCATTTTCCATTGTTATCCATTACTACTTCTTGGAAAGCCATATGATAAAACACAGTTTATTGGTTGTAAATTCAACTACATCTATGATGATTTAAAAAAAAAAAAAAAAAAAGTCACTCCAGTTTAGTCTGAACCTCCTGTGTGGTGAGGTTTTATGTCCCTCTGCACTCAGCTCTGCTACAAATGTCCTTCTTTGAGAAACTTACACATGCCTCCACCCTGCCCTGATTCTGAAAGCAGTCTTACCAGAAATGATGCTTTCTTGATTAATATTATCAATTAAAATGTGGTGTAGTGCCTAAGGCATGTGACTACTAACCAGAAGGCTGATGGTTCAAACCCACTAGCCACTCCTCAGAAGGAAGGTTGGGCAATCTACTTCCGTAGTGTTATCACCTCAGAAACCCAAGGAGGGGTCACTATGAGTTGAAATCGACTTGATGGCAGTGAATTTGGTTTGTTTGGTTTATATTGACCATGTTTATAGATCCATAGTGTATCTATGGCTTCACAAAACACAGTATTAGTTATACTTATATATGGAGGAGAAAGAAACCAGGCATCTAAAGACCCAGATAAAGATGTTCTATGACATACTAGACTTTAGTAGATGCCCAGCCTGGGGGGACCCTACATCTTTCTCTGTGAAATAAGGGTGACAACGGTTTCTATACTCTATTAAGCTAAATAAAACTAGATGTCCACAATGTTGTTGTTGTTGTTATATGCCATCGAGTTGGCCCCGACTCATAGCAACCCCTCCTTGGGTTTCCAAGGCTGTATCACTACGGAATAGGATTGCCCAACCTTCCTTCCGAGGAGTGGCTGGTGGGTTTGAACCGCCAGCCTTCTGGTTAGCAGTCAAGTGCTTTAGCCACTATGCTACCAGAGCTCCTGATGTCCACAATAGGCAGATAAAATGTGGCCTAACCACCTTCCTTTTATCTTTTTTATGGCAGGTTAACTCTTAGGCTGTTAGTTGGTCTGTATATGGTTTAGCTTTTATCTGCTTTCCCTCTTTTCTGCATAGCTATTGTTCATAAGTATTTTGCAGAAAACTTAACACTCACTTTTACTTGTTAGATTTCTGATGTATATGCAATTGCTCTCAACCACTTCTAATCTACAAAAACTCAATTTCACATAGTTCTATCCAATACAATGTAAACGAAAGGCAATCAAAGAGAAGAAATGCTGATAAACCTCGAAACAAGATTATTAAGTAAAATGTTTGGATCTAAAAGAAGCTGAAAATTCCAGCAAAAAAAAAAAAAAAAAATTATTTCTGTATCAGAGGCTAATTCTACTATAACAAGCACCAATTGCAGTCTGATATATTCCACATTCTGACAGAAGGCCAAACAAAAGCATGCCTTGTTAGAACAGATCATTCAGGCCAGCAGGTGCTTCCTCTAGGCTGTTCAGAGTCCCTTAGTATGATGAAAACATCGAATTCTTGGCCATTCTGCAGCAGCAGCAGCTGGCAAGCTAGACTACAGCTAAGTTCCTTCCAGCTTTCCTGTAACATTACTGCCCTCCTAAGATGTCTTCCCAACTGGCCATGCCAAACCCACCTGAAGCCCTAAGGTCAAGCACGGGGCAAAATGACCCATGGGTATGAGAAAGAATAACAATGGAGCACTAGGGTTTCATTTCTTTCCTTCTTTTTTGAGTCTGAAGCACTTGCTGATTTACTAGAGAGAGACTAGGTTCCATATCCTAAAGAGTAACTAAGTACCATCTAACAATATGCTTGTACAATGACATCTTACTAAAATAGAATCTGGAAGAACATTAACTTTATTATAAACATTATATAGTATATTTTAATTTTCATTTCTATCCTTAGTTTTTCCATAGGTAATCAAGGGTCAATTATATGAACTGGCCATTGGTATATCAAATTCTATCATAACTCAAATTTGACTAATAAATGCCCATCATAGTTGCAAAAACTGCTTATTAACCCACAGTGAAGCTCTGAATTTACCTCCCAGACATACTTGGAATCAACAGGGACATCCTTTCTCTATAAATGGGAAACACTCACTTGTGTCAAGGACACGAATGCCGATGGGGGCTGACTCCTCCTCCGTCAGCCGGTACCACTCTTTCTGAGGGCTGGGCAGCCACTCCTCCACACGGCAGGAGTAGTTGCCTGTGTCACGGGGGTTGGCTTCCAGCACTGTGAGCCGGTAGAGCAGTGGGGAGAGCCTCTGGAAGCGAAGCCTGCCCTCCCAGGGGCTGCCCTCTGGGCCAAAGACAGCGTCTTGGCCCACACTCAGTAGCACTGTCCTCTCTGTTGGGTCCTCTTCTTCCTCTTCTCCCTCTTCCTCCTCTTCTCCCAGGCCAGGGCTGCTTCTTTTCTCTCCAGCTTTAGTCCTCAGGGAATACCAGACCACAGCAAAGCGGGAGTCCTGGCTTGAGCGAGACACAATGCTGCAGTCCAGTTGGAAGGCTGCCTTCTCGGCCACTGTGGCATTAGGGACCACTGTGTCCACCTGCAGAGCAGCATCTGGGGAAGATGAGGGACACAGAGGATGAATAGGCTGCTTAATTTCTTTTCTAAAGACAATCTAAATGTCCAGCAATAAATACATTATAATAATATCCATAAAATGGAATACTATGCACCTATGGAAAAGAATAGGGGTGGTTCAGTAGTAAAATTCTTGCCTTCCAAGTGAAAGACACGGGTTTGATTTCCGGCCAATGCAACTTGTGTGCAACCACCATCTGTCTGTCCGTGGAGGCCTGTGTGTTGCTATGATGCTGAACAGGTTTCAGCAGAGCTTCTGGACTAAGAAGGCCTGCAGATCTACTTTATAAAATCAGCCAATAAAAACCCTATGGAAATTATCTGATTCACAACTGATCGTGAGGATGACATGGGGCAGGGGAATGCTTCTCTCCCCTGTGCCTATCGCTATGATCTGGGAGCCAACTCAAAGATAGCTAACAACAGGGGAAAGAATGAGGCCGCACTGCGTGCAGAGATGTGGAAGGAAACTCAAGAAAAACAGGGTCCTGAACATTGTATACTCTATGCTCTCACTTGTATGCAGGGAAAAAAAATTATTCATGCATACTTATTAGTTTATATTTGCACAGAATATTTGTAGAAGAACATACAAGAGGCTGGCTTGCATGTAATGTGGCTGCTTATGAGGATCTTAAGAGGGAGGGATACTTATTTTCACTGTAAGCCCTTTGAAAGAATTTCAGTTTTAAACTGTGTGCACATAGATTGTTGTCCAAACCACAGTGAACACCAAAGAGATGACTATTCTCTCCAGGGACCTAGGCCAAACGACAAGCAATGAACCGGGAAGGGGCCCTTACTCAGAGCAAGGACCTCACCAGATAGAGTCCCCCTGACATAGGTGGGAGGGACAGAATAGCTAGTGCAGGGCACCCCACCACGTGAGTCACCTATCACATGCAGACATCACCACACAGGTTACTGTCTCGTTCTCTTTTTCTTGCTTACTCTCATTTGCTCATTCTTACTTTCTCTTTTTTCCCCCCCCCTTAACAGATTAGGTTACAAACAAATAATTTATTCCATAGCTCCTTGAGTCTTCTTTTGGCTCTGTTTATAAAATTTTCCCCAAAGATGCCAATGTAACACCAACAAAACTAGAAAACCAAATCAGATTCTGCTTGGATGAAAACCAATAGGAGCATTTCCCAAGCACTGCCCTGGGTTTTCCCGTGAACTGGCTTAACATCACTTGCAGGTGAACACAAAGCTGGAGTTCCCAGTGCTTTTGTGGGGCTCTGCCAAGCCCGTCTGCATCCCCCACGGCCTGTCTGGAATCTCAGTGTGGGCTGGAATCTCGGCTTAGCAGCCTGCCACAGGTGGTGGGCTGCTCACCAGCCCAGCTCTCACAGGGAGGGGAATGTGCTGGAGGGCAGAGAGCAGCAGCACGAAGACTACTAAATCAGTTCACAGGTGACTCAAACTCCCTCACTCACTGCTTAGCCTTCCACAGAGCAAAGCTGACACTCCCTCAAAACCATTAGAGAACTATATGACAGACTGGGGGTTGTGTATGGTGTTTTTTGTCCACCAGAGACTAAATCTGTCACAAAGCTCCTGGCAACTGGCTCATATGCCAGAGGAGGTGGTTCCAGGTAATGTGATAAGATGGAACCCATCACGGTGAGGTGGCAAGATGAGAGGTGGTGATGAGTCAGAGACTCAACAGACTCTGGGTTCTCCTAGAAAGGTCCCTCCCCCACCTACTTTCCCTTCGCCTTCTTCTCTTCTAACCTGCCTAGTGTGTCCCCTGCCCCTACAAGCGCCTTGTCTGCATTAATGACTCAATCCAAGTTGTTTTTTTTTCTCAATATAAACTTTTTTTTTTTAAAACTAAATGAACTTCTATAGAGAATAATCATGGGAAAATGAAGGGCTGCTTATGCACAGGGAGACAGATCAGGGGCAGGAGTGCATGGAGGGATGGTCACTGGGAAGAGGTAACTATGGGGACAAAGTGTGAGGGGAGCTGTTGCACTGTGGTAAATTGTGGTCAATGACATGAGACAAAGTATATGTGAACTGCTGTATGGAAAGTGAATTTGCTCTGTAAATCTTCACCCAAA